CAATGATTTGCTGTATGACTCTTGAGTGCCTCGGTTTCCTTGCATTATAGTTTTGCTATTACCATATTTCACAGTGTATAAGTCAAGTTTTGAAGCCAAATTTTTTACTCTTAAAATTCAACCTCAATTTATGCACCATCCCCTGTAAGTGATGCTGCCTGGACCCTCCTGGGAGCTCAGGCAGCACATGGCCCGCTGTCAGCCTGCCCAGTCAGCCTTGGAGGGCACTGCTGCTGCAGAGGGAAGGACCAGGCCCCCCCACAGCTTCAGGGCAGCCCAGCAGCAACTCACCCCCCAGCCACGCAGCAGGCTGGGAAGCTCTGCTGAAAGCAATATTGGTTCCCTTGCTGCTTCTGCCTTCAGCAGGCTCCTGTGGCCAGCAGGATACCTGGTGCCACCTGGGAAGGGGCTGACTTACTCCATGGGCAGAGCAGGGTGTTGGGCGGGGGGGAAGGCTAGGGGTGTTGGGCAGGGCCAGCCTTCCCCCCTTCCCCTCCCCCAGCCCCTGCCCAATACCCCATGCTGCTCATGGGGCAAGCCAGCCCCTTTCTGTGCATCCTGCCAGCCACAGAAGCCTGCTGAAGGCATAAGCAATGAGGGGCCTGATCCTGCTTTCAGCAGAGCATCCCTGCCTGCCCCGCTGCCTAACTTCCCAGAGGCCCAGTCTAACTTCCTGGGAGCCCACCAGCATGCCGCCTCTGCCATGAGCCCGTCTGAGCTTCCAGCACCTCACATACTGAGGTGGGGTCAGCTTATACAACAGATCTACAAAAATGCTACCCTTTTTGTACAGAAATATGTACTTATACACTATGTTGACCTATACACTGTAAAATACAGCACTGGCCTACTGTGCAGAGTAGCATTATACTTGACTAAATGCTTGTACACTATTTTGACAGTATTGGCAGAAAAGTACTGAGGAGTGCAAAGAAATTCTTATTAATGGCAACTGTCAGTCATTTAGACAACCAAGTGCACAGTAACATGGTAATTTTTGTTTAGTGTGTTTTTGCATTTAAATCACCATCATTAAAAATAAAACAAACTACATTAGAATGTGGCAGAATCATTTGAGGTAAGCTGAAATGATTAATGGGTCCTCAGCAGTATTCCTCAAGTAGTCATGCTGCAGGGCAGAGATGTGTCTCTCTCTTTCCTGCCTTCAAAAAGCTGATCACAAGACCTTGCTAGCAGTCCAAGTCTTTCTGACCGAGGGGCAAGGAACTGAGACTGTATTATCTTAAATATTTTCATGGTAGTACATTATGCTTCACCTAGAGTCCTGGGTCACCTTATTAAGAGCTCTTACAATTGTGGGGCTGTTGTTGGAATGCTATAGCCACTTCTTTCATTCGCCCCACTCAAAAACTTCTCATTTTCAAACTCCAGTGTGGCAACCTTTCCTTCTAGTGACTTCCTTCTGAGCCTCACAGTGGTGTTGGTATGGAAGACTACAAATGGTATAAGTTACTTCCTCCAGGTCCTGAGCTGAGCATAGTGTTCACAGCCTGATGGGCAAGATACCAGACTAATCCAGTTCCCTACCTGGCAGGACACTAAACTACTAGACTAGCAAAGACATCGTATTCACAGGCCAAATTCACTGCTGATGTAACGTGTCAGAATTCCACTAGTGCCAATGGAGATCCAGTACCTTGCACCAGAAGAGAATCTCTCTATCTTTAGTATTTAATTCACATAGTGAAAAGCAGCAAAGCTTGGGCAGGTTTTGAGGTCCTACCAGTTTGCAGATGACACTCAACTATGTCTTTTTCCATCAAACCTGTATAGCGCTGTTTTTCTCCCAGCACCTACTTGAAAGCTGAGGGCAATGTTCTGGTGATCTGGGGAAGAGTCAAGGAAATGGGTCATAGGTTTGGGGGAAAGTGTCAAGGAAGTAGATTAGAGGTTTTATCTGGCTGGTTAAAGGAGGTGTTGTGCCCAACACTCACTGATGGTCTGGGTAGTACTTCGGGGCACCTATACATGTGCCCCACACCTGCTCTGACGTGTTCTAATTAGAACATGTTAGAGCAGACTCAATTAATCTAATCAGACTAATTAGAACACTCCAGCAGCCTTGGCATCATGTGTACTCAGTGTCCCCATGTTCAAAATGGTGCTCAAATGAGCTTTAGTTCAAGCACCCCTGCCACCATCATTTTGAAGTGCAGGGCAGTGAATACATGAGATGCTGCAGGTTTTTTAATTAAAGTGGCTCCCAAATTAAACTTGAATGAATTTAACTCAAATTAAAACACCCCTCTTTCCCCCCTACGTGCACACCCCAGAGCACATGTAAAGACACCCTTAGAGACCAATACCATGAGATAGTGTTGGAAACCAGTACCACCTACAACTGGCATTTAGTTAAAAGATGTCCATATCTTTCCGATGTGAACCTCACCAGTTACCCACACCTTTGTGTCCAGCTGCAATAAAATAACCAGAACTAACCTGAAACGTCTCTTTGAACCTGCCACCATGACTAGCTCATTAAGGGTAAGTGTGGCCCTCGTGTACCCAGGGAAGCCTGCTTTCAAGAACATCCTGCTCACGCTCTTCTATTTACATGTACCAACCTTGGAAACTGATGCAACATTTGAAGGTCTGGGATAATTTATTTAGTTTGGTCAGTATCACTAAGGGCATATTTTTGGTGCTGTGTGGGGGCCCTGGCTTTTGAACACACACTTTCCCACCTGCTCCCACTTGCACATGTCAAACCTGGAACTGCAGTGAATCCCCATAGATCCCAGACTGTCATTTGCATGACAGCAGCTACGGCAGTGTGCCCTGGCTGGATTTACTGCTGCATTTCTGGGTTTGGCATGTGAGTGGGAGCAGGTGGGTGGGACATGCTCAAGAGCAGGTGCCCCCCCAGTATCACCAGAAATACAGTGCAGACATTCCTTTAGTGATGCTGGCCAAAATAAACACATCGTGCCAGATCTGCAAGTGCTGCATCAGTTTCCCGATGACTTCTGAGTCAGGAACAGAGCCCTGGAGTCCTGACTGTTAGCCTATATTCCAAACACCGGCTCACACTTGTTTTTCCAATTAACTGTTTTAGCAGGGTAAGAATGTTAACTCTGCAGGGTGAGGCATCTGCAGCCTGCTATTCACAGGTGTCACACAACCCCAGTTCCTAATGACATCTAGCAACTTTGGGCAAAGGGAAGGGGGAGAAAGCAGGCTTCCAGTTTTTTACATGGCACACAGGCACTGAGCATACTTATGATGTTTTATAAACAATATCATCACCGGCTTTGTATGTAATAAAATTTAACAAATGTTTGCAATCAGTTCAAAAAAACAGACTCCTTTATAACTGAAACACTGCAGAGCAGAAGACAGCACCATAATTATAATAAATGGGTACTGCTGAGCTAGAGGCATATGGTGGAGTAAAATCTCCTTTCAGCAAACGCCATACACTTTGCCTAAGATGCAGGCAGATATGCACTAGTCTATGAGTTTCTACATGAGAAACAAAGATTTGACAATGGGCAGTTCAGTCTGGCAAAGAAAGGCATGATAACACACAATGTCTGGAAGTTGATCATTGACAAATTAGGCTACAAAATGTAATGTGCAAATTTTTAAGTGAGGGCAATTAACCATTGGCAAAAAATTACTGAGGACTGTGCAATTTTTGAAGACTGATTGGATAGTCTTCTAAAAAAAGCTATTCTACTTCCAGTAAATGTAAGGTAGTCCTGCATAATACAGGAGGTCAGGGTAGATATACACAACTGTTGCCTTCCAGTCTTAGGTGTGAAATGCTTATCATATTTAAGAATTCATGCATTGGTGTTTGACCCCTTTCTAAGTTTGCCAAGGGTGCAGCAAGCACCATTCAAGAAGAACCAGCATATAGCAATCAATATGGATCCATGCTTTACCAGAGGACAATACAGCAGATACAGTTTAATGGGACAAATGTAAGCTCTGCCTTTTGCTCCCATGCAGGGTGTAAACAAGCAGCAGATCAGGAAGGAAAGACTCCTGACTATTTTGTTAGAAGCCCTGCCTTTTGACTGATTACACCTCCTCTCTGCCTGTGTCCCCCTGCACCAGCCTCTGCTAGCTACTGCACCCATTCCTTTTTTGCTGTCTCTTTTACATCTCTCATTTTTTCCTTTCTCAATTTTTTTTTATCACTGCTCCATGAGTGACTGTATGCATGAGTGAATGTGCGTGAGTGCATGTTCATCTCTCTTTCAGTGGTCCCCTGCCTCTGAAGGAGATTTCTTGCTAGCTGGGTAGTCAACTTGCTGAGCAGCTGCTCAGAGTATGGTAAGAGCAGACCCCCTAGCCCATGACATATCTAAGATGATGATTAGTCCTTTGGCGTTGGACCAAGGAGTGGTTGTGAGCTTTTAGGTTATAATCTCAATTCTCAGCTCTGCCACAAACATACCACGTGGCTTTGGACAAGTCAGTCTACCTTGTTGATTTGATTTCCCCATTTGTAAAATGGTGACAATATTCTTTACCCACCTATCTCATCAGATTATTCCAAGGACTAATTAATTAGTTAGTGCTTGCATAATCTTTTGAAGAGGTAAAGCTCTAAATATTATGATTACTGTACCTCAGATAGTTACAAACTTGGCATTTTTCAGGCATGCACCATTAATAATTTACCACAATAAATGGCCTGGGAACCTGCAAATATATGACAGCTACCTCCTGCTTACTAGAGAACCCTCAGCTGAGTATATGGCATCTCATTGTTCAATGTGTAGCTATGGAAACTTATTTATATCTCCTATATTAAAAAACATGCACACAAAGAGCTGGAGGGAGGCCAAGTTACCTCATATAATGATGTATGAACACTGAGCCAAAGAGTCTTCAACCTAATAAACTAAATCTGCCACCAGGCAGTTGGGGGAAATGAACACGTATATCACTTCATGTGCAAGAAGAGAAAGAGTTAAATAAAAAACAACTGAAAAGTATAAGCATAACAAAGTCTTCAAGGAACTTACTTGAGGGCAGTTTTATAGTGGTAGATGGCTTCATTGTGACGACCCTGGTCTTTCAGAAAATTGGCATAGTTGTAATGCACCTTAGCATTATGGGGCAGAGTCTTCACTCCTGAACTACAAATGAGAAACAAAAATAGAAAGAGGTTAGCTGTTCCAGTCTGACAATTCAGCTTTTCCTTCATGTCCTCTCTTTTGCAATTTGTGGGGTTCCCCTGGGGTCTGTCCTATGTCTGGCATTATTCAACATCTTCATTAATCTTTTGGATGATGGGATTGACTGAATGCTTAACATAGCTTAAGATAACACCAAACTGGGTGGAGTTGCAGATGCCCTGGAGTTCAGGGCTAAGATGCAGATAGACTGAACAAATGATCAGCAATCAGTCAGATGAGATTCAACAAGGATAAATGAAAAGTCCTGCACTTTGGATGGAATAATTGAATTCACAAATACAGATCGGGCAATGAATGGCTATGCTGCAGTACTGTAGAGAAGGACCTGGAGGTTACCGTAGATGAGAAACTGAATGAGCCAACAATGTGTTCTTGCTGCAAAAAAGCCAACAGCATACTGGGTTGTATTAACAGGAGTGTCATTTGCAAATCAAGAGAAGCGATCTTTCCACTTTATTCAGGACTAGTGAGACTTCACCTGGAGTACTGTATCCAGTTTTGGGCCCCACACTAAATCATGGTCTACCACCTAAGACTGAGCACTGGGTCTCTAGTACCAGGGTTGCCAACTATCAGTAAATTTACTGATTGCCAGTAAAAAAAAAAAAATCAAGCTAAAAATGGCTATTAGTAAACTCCATTAAAAAGCTTTACCTGCCAGTAAAAACACTAAGCAGTCACAGATTGACTAAAGCTCTGATAGACAGAGAACAGCAGTGCCACCTGGTGCCCACATGCAACACTATGCGGAGAGTGCTGCCTCGGCCATGTGCTGTTGCTGCATCCTGCTGCATCCCACTACTGCTGCTGCTACGTCCCATGCTGCCTATAATACTGCTTGGTCTCAGGTAGGCTTCTTTGGGGGTCTGTGCCAGGATGGAGGGGGAAAGGCCAGCAGGAGTGAGACTGCAGGGTGGGCTGGGGAGGCAGCATGGTGCAGGATGCAGTCAGGGGTTTGGCATTTAGGGGTGAGTAGAGCACCCCCTGTGGGGGGGGCAATACAGTGTAAAACCATCACTGCAGTCAAGCAGAGTTGCCACCTTGAGAAAAAAAATCCATTTTTTTTTTACTGACAACCATACTTTTTAACTATGGTTGATGTTAAACCCCTAAAATTTGAACACAGTCCTTGAAACTGGGGCCTGGCAGAAGTATTATATTTAAAGTTACCTACAACAGAAAGCATGTCAGTAAAAATGTTTGGCCATTGGTAAAAACTTTGCAGATTGTCAGGAAAAAAATGTTCTTGGGTTAGCAACCCCATTTTGCACCAACACACAGACCTCTTTCACTGAAGCTAAGTGACTAATGAAAAAATTGCCAGAAGTGAAAAGTGGTTGCAGGTGCATCAACTTCTCAGTGCCCAACTTGCAAGATATAAAGAAGTCTGAATTTCAAAAGGCAGGGTGCTTACCACCTTTATAAAATCTGGTCCCTTAAATAAAACTTCAGTGAAGTACCCAAAGGTTGGGGGATCCAAAATCACTCATGACAAATTAATATCTTGAACACTTGAGCTAAGTGCATTAGGTGAAAGCACCATTAGGTAACTATTCTTTCTGCTGCTAAAGGAGGACACATAGGCTAGGGACAGAAGTTACATATGAACTGGTTTAAGTGATCAGAAACTGATTTAAACCTGTAACAGAACAGAAGGTCAGTGCTCATAAACCAGTTACAAAATGGCTGAAACTGGTTTAAGATATACCTGGTTGAATGTAGTATCAGACTTAACTGATTTGGGTCAAACCAAAACTTCTGTCCCAGACCCCTTCCTGGTTCAAGTTAAATCACAGTCCCCCAGCACCTCAGCATGCTTTACAACCCTGGGCTGGGCTGTCTGCTCCAGACAGCAGGGCTGGCTCTGCCCCTCTGCTCCCTACCTGGAACAGTGAGGGCTGGCTGACAAACAGGCATGTGTGTGGGGACGGGGGAACCCAGCTGGGGATGCAACCCAGTCTATGGGGGGGGTACTGCCCCCCCCAGCAAACCCAGCTGGGGTCTGGGACCAGGGAAGGGGTGTTCAGCTACGGTTACCATATTTCCAATTTCAAAAAAGAGGACACGTGTGGCGGGGGGAAGAGATACATGATTGTGGGGGAGGGAATTTATATGCCCCCTCCCTCCCACAGCCCTGCCAGTGCCCCACATTCCTGACCCACAGCCCCCTGCCCCACAGGCCCGGCTGCTACCCTATACTCCTGATCTGTAGCCCCCTGCTCCCTCCCAGCCCTGCTGCCCATGTAGCTTGCTTGAGTGTGCATGCACACATACACACACACTCACCTACCAGCAGCTGCCACACTATCCAGCCGATTAACTTTCCCCACTGCCCTGAGCCCCAAGCAAATGCAGAGGCAAAGCACAAACTTGGACACTTGCTTGCACTTTAAAAACCTGCCAGAATGAGAGGACAAGCAGCCAAAAAAGAAGACATGTCTGGGAAAACCTGGATGTATGGTAACCCTAATTAAACACCCCTTCCCCTACTCAAACTTAGTGCTGGCTGCAACTGTGGACTACAAATCCCAGAGGCACCTGGAAGCAGGAAGAGGAAGAGATGAGCAACCCTGCAGAGTCCTACTACTGTGATTCTGGACTGCAAATCCCAGAGACTTCAGGGGCAGCAGGAAAAGGAAGTGAACACACAGTGAGAGAGCCACATTCTACTGCCCCCAGCTTCTAGCCTGAGCCACTGCAGGCATGTGGCTGCATTTCCTGTTCACTTCTGTTTGAAATTAATCTGTGCAACTTAGACTAACCTGCAAAGACTGAATAGATTCAGCCTTGGGATTTTTGATGTCTGTACTTAGCCACAGTATATACTGTATGCTGAGTTACATAAGCATTGATGCACCACAGAAAAACTGAGAAGACAGAGTGCATAGGGCTGAGAAAGGACTTCACTGAGAGGCACAAAGAGAAATACAAGGAAGAAAAAAAAGGCACATACTTTGCTAACTCAATAAAACACCAGACTTGGCAGTGGTCTGTTGGCTTATTTACTTAACAGAGAGTGCAAAAGGAAGGGCACAGCTTATATGACTAAGAAAAATGTTAGAGACTGAAGGCAGTAACAGAAGAACATGTACTATAAAACCTTTATTCCTATGAGGGTCTAAGGACCCAGCTATTCTCCTGCTTTTATATTTAACAGAGGAACACAGTTGACAAGAATATAAATATAAGGCTCTCTAAATGATTAGGAGTAGAGGTGGGTGAATTTGTAACACAAGAACCCAAACCTCATTCTCATTCCTCCTTTGCAGACTAGTTAAGGCTAGCTTCACAGCTTTCTACCTTTCCATCGACTAGCTCAGACCCCTTCCATCAAAGAAAGGAGTAGAGGAAGTCAGCAGATTTCCAGTTTTGCTGCAATGCCTTGGCTATTTTCTCCAGTCAGCTCTCCAAGCAAGATTTTAATTCCCAAAGGAGAAACCAAGCCCCAGAGCTTTTGTGTTGTTGAAAAATAACAACACAAAAGCTCTTAAAATAGGCAAGGGGATTAAGTCAAGATGAGAGGAAAAAAAGAGTGGTAGGTGTACCATAGGAGGCTTGACAATAAAGAGGAAGGACAGAATAGAAGGCCTGGAGGGAATAAGGTTGGTAAAATCAGGGCATCACTGTGCACAGGCATCACGGATCAGATGAATGGGGAGGAGAGGTAAAGAAAAGAAGAGGGATGAGAGTGTTACTCATAGGAAAGATCATCCACTACTAATGTAGAGACCTAGTGCTTTACCTGTAAGAATTTTTTAAAGTACCACAGGTTTGGTTTTCTCACCATAAAGTATTTCTCCGTGCTTACCAGAAGGCACTAAGCCATTTTGTGACTAATCGCTAAATTAAATCAGTTAATTGATGCTATTCTTAAGAGGACGATTCTCTATATTAGTTTTCACAAAGATCTACTGCACCAGCAGCAGATAATATGTGAATGCTCTGGCTGTGTTAATATCCATTGGCCTAGGGAGCCATTAACTACACACTTACAACCTTCTGGGCATTACTGGGATATTAATTCTTATATAGAAAGCATATCATTACACCAATGACTCTCATATGCAAAGACACATACATGGACTCAGAGCTTTTACCATTTCAGAGCTGCTCCCTGGCCTATGTGCAATGAGGAGTTGGTCTTGTTATGGCCTCTGCTGAGGCAGAGCAAAATGTTGAGAAGTACATTACATATTCAAAAGTACTTTGCTTCTAATGAGCTACCGCATTAATAGTTGGAGGGATAGCTCTTTAAATATTCTTTTTGTGACAACTTTCCCCTTTTAAATTTAACTTTAAGTAGTTGCTCAGGAGCCATCTATTAAGATTTCACAGATAAACTATAGCTGTAGCTTTCTGTATGTTGCATATGGGTGTGGAAAGGACAGAAATTGGTCCTGGTGTTGTTTGGTTGTTTTCTTCCCTTGTACTCAGCTGCTTATTCTGGCTGCTCTATTATTCATCCTGTCTGTGAATCTGAGGCTGCTTCTGAAAATGATCCTGACAAAGTGCGACACACACTACTTCGAGCAGCCCCATGAAAAGACTCAGTTGAAACTGCTCTATCTGGAAATAAGTGACCAGAGAAGGGCCTAGGTGAACTACATTCATGAAACAATTCTATTGGGACACTGTTTTCCAGCTGGAAAAAGAAACAATAATATTCGTAACTAAAGCCAACTAGGAAAGGGTGGAGTATAAATAACAAAAGCAGAACACAATGTTTTTCCATTTCTGCTTCCCACCAACACCCCCTCCTCCCACAACTCCACATATATTCTTCCAACATGCAGTTCCAAATTCTCTCACTTTCATTTTTCTCTTCTGAAAATATACTGTGACAACCCAAGTCTAGTAAGAAACAGATCCACTGAGCATAAAGGTCACTTCTCAGAAAGATTTCCTTCCCTGTTGACTACTAAGATGACTTTTAACTCTTG